CAGTGTATTTAAATGTATTCACATAAAGACCAGTCACAGAAATGAGCCATGTTATCTACTCACTTTTTCAAGGGGTGACCTTGAAGCCAGCATCAGTTGTCTTACACAAACATATGGTTCATGGGCATAGTTTAGTGTTGGTGTTTAAGGAGACAACCGAGCTTCTTGTTCTCAGGGCAGAGGGGAAGAATGTCCTAAGCCTTCATAATAAAAACATTCATAACCTTTGACCAAAAATTACCTGACTGTTTTGCTACTCTTTGCTAGTTTTTCTACCTTTAGCTCATGTTTTGCTACTTTTGGCTTTTAGAAAGAGTTTTACTTTGTTTAGGTTTCAGCTAGTGCTCTGCTTCTTTTAGCTTTAATAACTCAGGTATAACTTCTTCAGCAAATTTCAGCTACCATTTAGCATTTCTTTGTTTTATTTTATTTACCATCCTTGTGATTTTTTAGTTTTTTTTTAATTAATTACTTATTTTGACCTAAAGTATAAATTTAGTAGATATTCTTAAAGTTTAATTTCTGAATTTTGTTTGCAACACAAGTCATTAATTCTTTTATAATCAATCCAAAGCTCCCACTCATCACAATAAAAAAAACAAAAGAAAAACCAGAACCTCTCCAGCCTAGACCCTCATAATTACGAACGATTTTATATCACCCCCTTTTTCCCCCCCATTTCCTTCCTGTTTTTATTTCCTCCTGCAGACAGTACATTGTGTGTAGTGCAATTAGCAGTTAGCACCTCTGCAGTTTTACTGTAATCACCTGGAAACCTGCTCTTCGGTGGTTGATTGAAGCTTCTCTAATGCGAGCAGCCCAGGTCTGAGTACTGTCTGACCAGACTTGAGTCTCTAACAGGAATGTGTGAAATGTGTCACTTCCTACGCTGTTTCCTGTCCATCAGTCTTCCTGTCTGGCTTTAATGCTGCTGTATTCCTAATAAATGTGACTTATCTACAATATTTAAAATTTACAATTTGCTTGTGTCGCTCCTTTTTTTTAATTTTTGTCACGCATATGCAGCTCCTTTCCAAAAAATTAGACTATCATGGAAAAGTTGTTTAACTTCCAGAATTCCATTCAAAAAGTTAATCTTTAATAGATGATAGATTCAGGGCCCACAATTTAAATGATTTCAAGTATTTATTTGTTTATTTTTTACATAATTTGGGCTTCCCGCTTATGAAACCCATGAAAACATGATTAAAAATAAAATAAAATAGAATACTGTGAAGACATCAGGCCACACTTCTTCTCAGTATTTGCAGAAAAAAAAGAAAGAAATTAGGATGACAACAAATCAATCAAAATATGGTACTTTCAAAACAATATGTCAATCTTCAGTACTTGTTGGGAATCCCTTTGTGTTAATCACTGCCTCGATGTGACGTGGCATTGACTGGGAGTTATGGAAGCCCAGATTTCCTTGATGCTGTCAGCTCTTCTTTGTTGTTGGTCTGGTGCTCCTCATTTTCCTCTTGAGAATACCCCATAGATTCTCAATGGGGTTTAGGTCCGGCGAGTTGGCTGGCCGATCAAGCACTGTGGCATGGGCATCAAACCAGGTTTTGGTGCTTCTGGCAGCATGAGCAGGGGCCAGGTCCTGCTGGAAGATGAAATCTTCATCTCCAAACAGATCCTCAGCAGAAGGAATCATGAAGTCATCTAAAACATTCTGATAGACTGTTGCGATGACCTTGGATTTAAGAAAGCAGAGTTTACCAACACCTGCACCGGACATTGCACCCCAAATCATGACTGACTGTGGATATTTCACACTGGACCTCAAGCAGTATGGGTTCTGTTCCTCACCCTTCTTCCTCCAAACCCTTGGACCTTGATTTCCAAATGAAAGGCACACTTTACTTTAATTGAAAAAGAGGACCGAGGATCCCAGCAGTTGTAGCCCATCTCCCGGATGCGTCTGAATGTGGTGGTTTTTGAAGCTGTCACTCCCGCCTCATTCCACTCTTTCTGGATCTCTGCCAGATTCTAGAATCTTCTGTTTGATAATCCACTGAAACTCACAGTCATTTCTTTTGCTGGTGCATCTTCTGCTGCCACATTTTGTCCTTCCACTAGACTTTCCATTGATATGCTTGGACACAGCACTCTGTGAACAGCCAGCTTCCTTAGCTACAAACTTTTGTGGCTTACCATCCTATGGAGGGTATCAATGATGGTCTTCTGGTCAGTTATGTCTGCAGTCTTCCCCATATTGAACCGAACTGAGACAATTGAACCAAACTGAAGCAATTTAATGACACCTGGGGAAACCTGTGCAGGGGCTTTGAGTTTAGTAGATGATTAGTGTGTCACACTCAGTTTAAAATATTCATGCCCTGAAAAATTTGGGCCGATTTCTCAACAGTATTCTAATTTTTTGAATTCCTGTTTTCGTGAGTTTCATGAGCTGGAAGCCCAAATTATGTAAAAATAAACAAATACTTGAAGTCATTTAAATTGTGGGCTCTGAATCTATCATCTATTAAAGATTAACTTTTTGAATGAAATTATGGAAGTTAAACAACTTTTCCATGATATTCAAATTTTTTGGAAAGAGTCTGTATATATATATATATATATATATATATATATATATATATATTATATCTAAATCCTGCTAATGAACGTTCACCATGTTCACCATTTAGAATAGAATAGAATAGAATTCAACTTTATTGTCATTGCACGTCACAGGTACAAAGCAACGAAATGCAGTTTGCATCTATCCAGAAGTGCTTAGCATGAAAAAATAAATTGGTAGATATATATAGTACAATATTTAATGTGCACCATTAAATCTCTGATGAACCAGATTCTACAAAACATGTATATTTAAAATTTTATAGGTTTTCTTCATCATTTGATGTATTTGCACTCATTGTTTCTATTTTTATTGTTCAGTTTAGATGTGGTTTTGTTTCTTGTTCACGTATATATTTTTTATTTTGCACTTTGCTTTAAAGTTCTTGTTTTGTGATTTGTACATCTGTGGGTTAAAATAAAGTTGAACTAAAGGCTGTATCTCTTCTTTAAACATGTTTGAAGGAAATATTCCTGAGAGATCCAATAATTTTGTGTCTTTTTATGATTTTCAGCTGAGTTAACAGTGTCATTAAAGTGAAAACAGGATTTCATGATAAAGCCAGCACCATTTATGTTATTTTTTTAATCTTCAACGCTAAAAAAACATACATTATTGTTTTTATGACCAGCTCTGCTGGTCTCACCCGGTCCTCTCCCCCAGAGCCTCGGAGTCAGGACGGGCAGGGCGTCATCTTCCCGGCTCCGAGCTCCGCTGGTGACTCGCAGAAGGCGGTTGCCAGACCCCGGCCTCGCGTAATCATGAAGACCGAACCCCGATCCTGGCAGACAGGCGGATCGGGACGGGTCTGGAATTCTGGATGGACGGTGGAAGCGATTTTTAAAAACATTTTATTTACAAAAAAACATTAGTTTTTATAAATATTGCTTCAGCGATTTTTAAAAACATTTTATATATTAAAAAAAAAACTGTAGTTTATTTAAAAATCGCTTTCACCGTCCGTCCCAGACATGTCCCGGTCTGCCTGTCTGCTGGGATCGGGGTTCGGCCTTCATGATTACGCGAGGCCGGGGTCTGGCAACTTCCTTCTGCGAGTCACCAGTTCGTATGTTCCTTTGCGGTGACCAGTGGAGCTCGGCGCACGCAAGGCCGGGATCTGGAGCCCGAGCCCCGAGTCGGCACCACGGAGGATCTTCCACGGTGACCAGCGGAGCTCGAATCCGGGAAGATGACGTTCTGCCTGGCCTGGCTCCGAGTCTCCAGGGGAGAGGACCGGGGTAGATCAGCAGAGCTTCATCCAGCTCGCTCTGAATTTTGTCATCGGCCACTAAGCACAAAAACGTATCAGCACGTCAGCACTAGACCAAGGTGTTGTCATTATTGTCTTTAAAATCTTTAAAATAGGTCCAGCCGCTGCTCTGGTCCGAGAAATTGCAAATGGCGGATCAATGTTTTGAAAAGTTTCTGAAAGATCCAGTGACTCCGCCTCCGACCAATCAGTGACCGACAGTGGTCTGACATCACATTTTCGTACTCAGCCCGGTTGGAACCACAGAGCCATGGGTTCCGAAAAAAAGGGGCCGGTTCTACGTACCGTTACTAATGGAAAAACCTTAGAACCGGGCTGAGTCGAGTCCAATCGGGCCGTACCGTTACTAATGGAAAAGGGGCATAAGTGGCTTTAAACAACTGCTAAGTTCCTGGCAAAAACCAATGCAGACATGTTCCAGTTTTTAGTTTTCTACACCGCCTCGTAGTCTAGCTGGGTTTTCCCCCCCACTTTTCCTTTTAATTACCATTTTATTTTCATTTGTAATAAAAACAAAAAACAAACAAAAAAAAATTAAATTTGTATGCATCCTTTGTGATTGTCTATTGTTGTCATTGTTATCCACTGTTGTCATCACTCCATGTTAAATTCAGGACTCTCTTGTAAATGAGTCCTCGTGGCTCAATGGGACTAACCTGTTTAAATAAAGGTTGAATGAAAACATTTCTTTGGCTTGTGTGTGAGTGTAGATTTGAGATGCTGAAATTTAGTAAAGCTAAGATAATGCGCTTTAGGGTCTACCTGATAATTTCCTCTGGCTAATGACACACAAGTCTTATCAATCTTTGACCAGAGGCTCTTGCTCTTCTTGCTTACATACTGGCCCAGCATCCACTCTTGTGGCCCTATCACAGTTTGAAGTGTGTACAGTTATTTTTAGTTCAAGTCCTGCTGCGTCTGCACCCTTCATACACTCCCCCCCAATTGTTAAAGTGCATGTTTATGGTGTCGGAATTAGAAGTTTGAGTGCAGGATTTAACAGCTTGTGTGTGCTTAGGAGAGATGTAATAAAAAAGTGTGCTGCTTTTCACCCACTACTGTTTTTTGTGTGTTTTAATTCTTCACAATTTGTATTTTATGATTTTAGATGGTAAACGTAGTATCTGTGTGTGTTTCCAGTCAAAGTGATGCAGTTCAATAAAGAGCGAGCTGCACCAGACGTAAGCCAGGAAGAGCTTTCACACACCGGCGCTGTCAGAACCGCTCCAACTGAAACCGGCTTCAGGTACGTTTTCACATCTCCAGCTTATTACATGTTAAAGAAAAGTGTTGCCAGTGTCTGAGTCATATTGTTCTGCAAACATTTGATATGAGAAACACACGCATATCAAATGTTTTCAAGGTTCTTTATTTGTCATACACACCACATGTGGTACATGTGGTGGAACGAAATTGTGTACACAGGGTTTTCATGAAAGGATGATGATTTTTAACTAAATAGGACGTAAACCTCCATCATACTTCTGTAATCTTTGAAATAATATTCTCTGCTGCTGTTCTCTCTTTTTGTTTACATTTCTTAATTTGCAAGAGTAACAAATAAAAAGAAACCCCCTGACCTTTTTACTTATACAGAGGATTATTATATGTTTTATAGTCATATTCCAGTATTGGTGTACTTGTTTTTTTTCTGGAAGAAAGTGTTACTGCTCATAAATTCAAATTTATGATAAAATCTTGTTTTTGACATGACTGTTCTCGTCCAGAATGATAATGTCTCAAATTATAGACATGAAGGCTGTGTGTGAATAGTTTGATGTGTATGAGAAAGATGTAAATCATTATGAAGAAAATGCATCAAAGGATTCTGTGATCACGACCACTATAGTTACATCTGATCCCAAATTAAAATATTGTGAAAACGTGTTAAACAATGATTTGTATCCCCACTATCAAAACACTGAATGAAAGTCCATTGTTGTAGCGCTGGTCCTAGTTTCTAAAAATATCTTCCGCAATGTGTGATGTCAGCAAGTATCCGGATCTCAACGAAGTGGAACTTTGAGTACAATACAGTTAGCGCTGTACTTGAGGAGCCCTGAACATTTTTCTCTAACACCACTTTTTTAAGCTGGAAAAAAAAAAGTCATAATTATTATGGATGCATGATATTGGATATTTGGCCGATATGCCGATATGTTAAAACTTATTTGGCCGATACCAATGTTTTATATACTTTCCTTTGTCAGAACATAGCCCTCTTATTTAGGCTTATTTGCTACAAAAATTGTGCAACAGCTGTAAGAGCTGGTGACATATATTCAGTAACAGCCATATGATATGCATAGCACTTTAACTTATATTAAATGAAAAGTGTTAATTGTTATTTATTAGCATTAGTCACATGTGATGCTGTCTCACTTGTGGAGGCTTGTTCCAGGTTCCTAGCTGCAGTGTGGGATCCTCTGCACTCCTGTACATGAAGGACAGCCTTTTTAAGATCAAAGTTTTTGTATATCTATTGTTCCGTAAGACTAATCATGCTAACGAGGCTAACACGTCCAAATGTCTGTGGTAAAACTCACCAAACAAGTCGTGCTATTAGCTTCTCAATGACGTCAGAAATGACGGCTTGTAACTCAGTTAAGGTTACGTTGGAAAAATATCTCAGACTGGGGACGATGTAGCGAGGCTCAACATAGTCCATAAATCTTCGGAATCCGACATCCTTACCAACAAAAAATAAAACTTCCACACCGCCAACATTTTGAATTTTCCTCTCCACCATGTGATCAGGTAGATGCACGTGACATCATCGTGTTGTGCTGCAGGCAAAAACAGCACCTTTTATATTGGGGAGTTATTTTAATGGAATGGCCAATGTCCGATATTGAACTTTAACACTAATATCAGCCGATACCATGCAGATAATATATCCCTAATAATCATATTAAATGGACTGTACTTATATAGCACTTTTCTATCTTATCAAGATACTCACAAGCGTTTTATAATCTGTGCCTCATTTACCCATTCATACAGCACTCTACTAGATCTTTACAAAGACTAATCAGAGCTTTGTCACATTCATACACTGATGGGACACACATGGGAGGCAGTGAGGGGTTCAGTGTCTTGCCCAGCGACACTTGAGCATGTGACTGCTGGTGGAATTGGACCCCCAACTCTTGCATTGGAGGACGACTGCTTTAACCACTCAGCCACAGCTGCCCATATTATTAAATATTATATATTAGAACGCATTTATCGATCTTTGTCTCCTTTTAAAGCACATTTGCTGTTAATTTAATACTTGGTTAAAATCTAGTATTTTACCTGCTTGTTTTTGTTCTTGGTCATGAGGAGGTGGCACCTGTCTCCAGCAGTCATAGGGTGAGAGTTGGGGGGACACCCTGCACAGGTTGCCAGATCTTTAAAAACAGATTTTTTTTTTTTGCCTTAACATATGTTTTGTAAAATTAAACCTCATTTGTTGAACTTTAATCTAAACCTGTAAGTTGAATGGCAACATCACAGGTCATATATAGCCCAGTCTTGTTATGTGTATTTGTCATGTTTTGATCAAATTTGCAACCTTTTAAAGCTCAATGACACAGAGAATTACAATATTTCTCTCTTTTTTTTTTGGTGTGTGTATGTGTCACAGAGGACCCACCAGTCTGGAGGAAGTGGTAGAGAAGCAGGCCGACCTGATAGAGTACCTGAAACAGCACAACACGTTGCTGAGCAAGAGGCTGCTGAACCTCACTGCTCAGCACTAACCAGTTTGACCTCCTGTGTACGCCAACCAGCAGATCACTGGCTGCAGCGCTCGGGAGAAGGCACAATCGTTTTACTGCTCTGAGACTTGAGTAAGCAAATGCACCTGTACACACAGACTGACCCGGCTCCTCTGTGAAGTATCCTCACCTGAGATGGACAGATAAGGCGGAGGAACACAGGAGATAAAGAAAGGAGTCGTGGGTCACAGATCAGAGACGAGGGGCTTTTATCACGGCCTCCTGTGGATGCTGCTGCGCTTGTTACTGTGAATGAAACGGAGTAAAACGATCACCCGGAGGGAGAGGTTATGACTCATCTGATTCATGCAAGTAACGTTACAACTTGCCGTTTTAAACGTCTGATTGTTATTTTTTTTATTTTTTCCCCCCTTTCTGATCTGTCGTCTTTGATTTGTACTCGTTACAAGATTCTAATAAAATCTTTAACTTTATTATTTGTGATTTCATTGGTTTTTAGACTGTACAGGAAAGGAGCTGACGTAGCAATCCTAAAGTCTGCAGCCGATTGTGTTACAGGCTCGTATTTAATGCAGTGTACTGTGAGATCAGCTGGATGTAAACAGACACTGCAGCATCATGGAGGTCGCCATTATTGCCTTTCACCTGCTGCATTTTACAATTCAAAAACCACACGAATCTACAAAATACCCTGTTTTCTCCTTCAAGCGTCCGCAAGTCTAAAATTTACCACTACTTTACTCTGCTGCTTCAACTGAAAGGTCAAAGAGCCCCGGGGGTTCTCAAACTTTTTGGATTCAAGGCCCCCCTCATAACCTTCATGTTTATTAAATTTCTGCAATTTGTCTCTTTAATGCACTGGAAATATTTGTGTAACATAAATACTTAAAACCTGTTCTTTAAATACTGTTAACATTTATACTTTTTAACATGGTGTGTTTTTCATTCAAGGCCCAATTAACAAAAAAATGTTATTTCAACTTCCAAAAATTAGTTTTGAGAAAATTAACAGCATCAAAAACCACTTTTGAAACTTATAACTATTCACATAACGAACATAAATGTATTGTCACTTCTTCACATTATTAGATAAAACTGAACAGAATCATATCAGCAGTAATCAGACCAAGCAACAGATTTGTAAACTGATTAGAATGTAAATAGCAGGTGGGGGGGGGGTCCTCCCCCAGAAAATTTTGAATAAAGTAGACGTGATTTCCTGCATTTTGATGTATTTTAATGGATTGGTAAACATTTACATGTTTAAAAAAAATATTTAAATGTATATATTTTTTTTTCTCAGACCCCCAAGCACCAGCTCGCAGACACCCGGGGGTCCACGGACCCGTTTGAGAACCACTGCTGTAGAAATCTGTCTTTCTTTGTATTCTTGGGCTTGGAAGTTACACAAATAGTGTGTAAATAAAGTCTAGCCAAAAATCAACTGCATGTATTTGGAGTCATTTATATCTTACCCCACACAAACACAGCTAATTCAATGTGAATATTAAAAGAAAGAAAAGACTACAGATGTACATTTTTATTACAAAAGTTTGAAATGTAATCCAATAAACAGTTGGGAGTGCAAACATCATAAACACATTGTAGGAATACTGTACAGGCACGTCTTTGGTCTGCGAGTCAAACAAATTTAGATGATAAATATAATTTGTCTCAGTCCACTTTGTTGGTGTTCATGTGAAAAAGCAAATGTGACGGAGCTCGCAAGTCTACGCGCGCACATGTCATGCTTTGGACTTTGAATAGTCATTCATCCACAGCCTTGAGCTGGCGTGAAGCAGGTCCTTGTAGTGGTTTGTGGTACACAAGAATCTGCGTGGCTCCTTTATGGAGTCCAAGATTATTATTTACAACTTCGTATCCGTCTGTCCTGATATTGATCCATCCATAGATGTTCACTTTCCTCTTCTGCGTCTGCCTGTAATGGAGGGGAAAACCGTTTTAGTGTCCTGCTGCAAGTTCAAAACAACTACACCTCCTGTAGGAATAAAACTTTCCTGTTGATCATTAGCAGGATTTACTGCTGACCCGTTTTCCTCTGTGCACCCCTGTTGAACAGTCTTTTGCTACTAATCACACCCTCTGAAGTGCCACCTGCCTGCTGTGTAATCTGGTCTTGTTCCACACATCATGCAGCTGAGCTCATAAACTCATAAACACATGGATGAGTGCGTGCACACGCATCTTACCTCAGCTGATGGGCACTCTGGAGTGGAGAGACATGCAACGCCTAAAGCAGCGATGTCTGATGTGTTTGCTCCTCGGATTTAAAATATCTGAAACAAACAAAAAAGGGCTTATTTTAGAATATTCGAAATTTATTGTGATCAGGTAGGCACATTATAATCAATTTAGCTTTAAAATAAAGAAATGGGTTTTCTACTTTATGGCTTTAAGTTTTCTTCACTTAACACTTGACTATTTTTAAAACGTCCCCAATAAATCCACTTTGAGCCCAGTGACTTCACAGGCTGCAAACCAAAACCAGGAAGAGATCAACTACTAGATGGCTTTATGACTCTCCACAGATCCCCCCTCCAGCCGGGCCACCCAAATCCTAACAGAATTTGCTCCCCACGCTTTTACACTTGGCACTGCTACTCCATGTCATGCTAATAAACCTTGGGAGTTTGCATGGCGTTTTAACACCGTGATTAACAAAAGCCCGCCGGAGCCGGAGGCAAAGGATGTGGTCGACCGCTGTGCTTTTCCCCCCGACATCGGATTTTCTGCTGCCGCCCGTGACGGGGTTGCCAGATAGAAAATGACGAACCAACGTCATGAGGAACTATCGGTGTGTGGGTGAATAAAAACCGAGTCTTTTATTCGGTGCGTGGACATTCTAAAGTTGCTGTAAAATTTTGTATTTGTGTTTATTGTATATCGTATACAATAAATTGTGGAAAAAAGTGTAGCCAGTAAAACTATCGTATAAACACGATGTATATTTGGCAACGTTGACACGTGAACCAAACCATAACAAAAATCTTTTATGAACTTTATCATCTTTTATTTGTTCTTCAGATATCTGGAAAACGCGCAAAGCAACAAAGAACGCAAACTTAATTTGTCTTTTAGGCTTACTTGTATACAAATTTGCTTTTACAAAATTATATTGTCAAAAATTACATACAATATTGTTAGCTAGCATAGACATAGCTAGTCGTTTCACAGGGGGTAAGTTTTACTTAACGTTTCTAAGTATGCATGCATAAACAAAGAGCTATTACTTTAAACCCAAATGTATACACAGAATTTTATGCACTTTTAAAACTGGGCAGGAGTAGTAATTATTTTTCGCACAGCTAATTACAGCTAGTTGTTTTTTTCGTAGCGAGCTAGCAGCGTTTCCATGGTTACCTTCCGCTTAACGCTGTATAAAATCTTGACCGAGGCAAGTAGGCTACTTTAAAAGTAAACACACATACATCAAGTAAAAAAATAACAATAAATAAATTTACAAAAGACAAATTCAGTGAGATTAAACATGACATTTCAATAGTTTATTAGTTTGAGGATGCTTACCTGGCTTAACGCAGCAGAGCGGCGCTAAAATAGCCGCTAGCAGCAGAAGCAGGTGGAGCAGATTCAAAGTCCTCATGCTTGTTCGCTTCACGGGAGGAAATGGACAAATAATGCCAAAGTCTTAAAAAAATACTTTTTTTGTTCTGGCTCGGGTTAGAGAGTGGTGATGCTGTTTTTCCCGTGTCTATTTTCAGCCTAGCGCGGAAAGACGTAGGTCCGAGAAGACTCTGCATCCAGCGAGTGATTGACAGCTTCTTCATGAGCAAAGTGAACAGCAAACATCTTCCTTCATGTTTTATACAGGAGGGGGTGTCCCCTCACTTCCCCCACCTTTATCCCTGACACACACGCACTCTCTCTCTCCTCTGGTATACACACGCACGCACACACACCAGTATTGCACATATTGACCCCACATGTAATTCCAGTGACAGGAAGCCCTCACCCTGCCCTCCCAACAGCTCCTTATGAGAATAACTTGTATAAATAAAGATTGAATGAACACACACACCCCTGTGCTGCACTTTGTGTGTGTTTGTATGTGACTGATACATTGAAAGAGTGCATAAGGGCAGATTTATCACCTAACATCAGAGTATAGGTTTAAGAAACAAGACTAGCAGGTCCTCCTTGAACCCCTGCCCCCGCATTAATGAGGGTGCACATCTGGGGGGGTTGCATTTGCAGAAGAAAAGGAGGCTGGGGGCATGTTGGCTTTCTGTGTCAAACATTTATTTGGGGATTTATTAAGGGTCTGACAAAATTAAATCCAGCAATCTTCTCACCTTTTTAGTTTTTGATGCCATTTTTACTGTCAAAGCTGAAAGGGGGACGATGTTTGTGCCCATGTCTGTATGTGTTTGACTGTGGTGTTGAAAAAATATGAATCACTGGCCTTGATTTTAATGAAACCCACAGAAAGTACATCTACAAACAAACTTTTGGATCAACCCAAATCAAGATGCCTGCCACATCCAACATCCGTTTGGATACTCAAAAACATCTGCAGCTCAGCCAGTTTTACAGATATTAAGTTAAATTTGGTGTGATAGTAGATGAGTTAAAAAAACAACAACAACATACCAATCAAATCCAACAGCGTTCACAACCAGTAAAATGCTGTTTTATTCCTAAAGCTTATCAGAAAAAAAAGCTTCACTAAATGTTGAGTACATTTTTTTGATTATAGCTTTTAGTATGATAAGACAAAATATGAGAGATACACTATAAGTGGCTGTTTTGCCTATAAGACTTTTATCTAATATAATGAAAACACATCCTACAAATTGTGAACTGAACTTTCTAAAGGAAGAAAGAGCATTGATGTAAATAATGTCACTATAATCTATTGCAAAGATAAATTAACGTTTGTAAAATAAAATAAATACAAAGCACTTTTGCGAAGAAACCCTAAGAAATGTTTTTTATTTTCTTAAATTGCCAACATTCACATCAAAACTTAACTTTTTCATCAAGCCATGTCCCTATTTGTATAAATGTACACTCAATATGTTTTAGATACTCTTATTAAACCAATTTAATCATGTTTGTACACCAGATCAGTCTGGATCACGTCTCTCTGGTCGTTTTGTGGATCACAAGCTGAACATCATGACTACATATTTCAGGTGAGGATGGAATATTTACTTGTGGCGTGGTCACTGCATGTCCTGTTTTTATCGTGGGACATTTATGGTCTTGTTTGTTTTATTTGACAAGTTTCTCTTTGGGATACAACTTGACTTCATCCTAAATTGGGAAATGACAGCTTGTGCTGCCAGCTTGACTCCAAAAAAAGAGGT